GAGCATATGAAACGTTTGAGAAAGGATTCCAGCTAATAATGCACCTCGTCGTGAGAACTAGGGCAAACTAGGGAGGTTTTTTTTTACAGAAATTGCTTCATATTTTTAATTTTTACTGACTTCGTTAACTGCTGTGCTAAATTTCGTATTGTTTAATTAATTGGTTTATATAATATTCTGTATTATTTGTCTTTAGCCATATTTCAGGAATTTATATTTACTCTACTAGAGGATATGATTGTGTTGTTTACTACATTATTAATCTTCTTAAATTTATTATTTTCCTTTTACTTAAGTACGTCGTAATGTCTTGGAAAAATATTTAATTATGTGAAAAATATACTATTTCTAAAAATGAAGCCTAGAATTTTTTCTTAAAAACGCTATGTAGTTTTCCTGTTTCTTAATAAATTGCATTCCATATATCGATAGTGTAAATTTACATTTTATGTGAATTACAGAAAAAGTATAAAATTAGATGTTTAATATAACTTTTCTTGTATGATGTAATTTTACATTACCTAATGATGGCGTCAAAATAACCAATGATTTGGTATACAATTTTACATAAAATGTCTATGAGTGTGTTTCATATGTCGGTCAGTCAAAGACTACCAGTCTGCTATTTTCATAACTAAAATTGTTTATGCATTTCAATCATTTCATGCTTTAATACATCTTTTATTCAGATATCTTCTATGAAGGATTGTGACTTTATTTAAAATCTATTTTATATCCTAATTTATAGTACTGCTTATTATTTTTCTGTACATATAAATTTTAATCATTTTAATTTAATAATATTGGTGAATCTTCAGGGATGCCGAACAATTCTTTTAAATTTCAAATACGAATAGACTATATTTGTTAGAATCAGGTAAATACTCGTATTGATTCAACATAAATTTGCCGATAGCGTTAAAATATGCATTATGACAAATCTCGTTAGCGCTTGAGGACTTTCTCCCTCGAAAATCCAAACTCACTGTCAGATCGAAGTTGTTGAATATTTAATACCAACCTATATAAAATATATATTCGGTTATAAAAGTTGGGATTTCGCCTAGGTTATTGCTCTATAAAACTCCGGAGGGTAGCAGTTTTATTAGAAATTGGGTAATATTAGCAATAATATTTAAATTCAATCTTTATCGCTCTCAAAGTTTATTGTATGGACATTCTGATTTGGCGTCCCTTCTTCTAACATGGCAAAAATAGCGCATTTCAGGTTTTTATAAAATTCACATAAACTTTCGTAAAAATTATTTTAAGTAAATAATAGAATCAGTACGATACGTGGCTCGAATGGTCAATGTCGATTAAAATGGCGAATCTCCACGGCTAATGAAGTAGTTCTTTCAGTTTTATTTAATAAAGAGTAATCTTATTTAGCTAATTTAATATAACTGTACAGTACATTCATAGAGTAGTAAAGCTTTCAGAAGTACCTAGTAAACTTCATTACGAAAAAACTAATATTTTCATATATTTATCAAAAATAGAAAAATTTAAAAAATATTCGTTTAGCTATTATTAAAAAAAGATTATACATGGTGGGCCAAGTTCGACACTTGGCAGATTTTTTCTATTTCCCGAAAATATATCTTGGTATTTTGATTCAGGAAGAGATACAGGGCGTTTATCAATTTTAGCCGTTCTTCTGATGCTCTATAACTTTTTTATTTGTTAAAATTTGGGATTTTTGTAAAGGCCCGTCTGATATAATTTTCTGTCAAATCACACCTGAAATTCGCGAAAAAAACTTTTTAAGAAATTAAACACATATATTAAAAATATATTCAATCAAAAGTTGCACATTCAAAGTTATGATAAAACTATTGTATTGTGTTAAAATTAAGTTCCACAAGAAATATTGCACATATCGGGTGTTCTCAAAGTTGAATCATTTATTTTAACAGCTGGTAGAACACTTAAAAAAAGTCGATTTACCAAAAATCGTTTATATAAAAGTTGCCAAATAAAGTAATTACATATTAACAATTATTTAAAAAAATTTAAATTTAAAAACTTTATAATACAAACCTGATTTATTGACATATTGGACCACTGCGTTGTAAAAACATAAATTGTAACAATTTTGAACAATTTTTCTAGAACAATTTTGAACAATTTTTGTACAACAGGATTTTTATAACTCTTGTGCAATTTTTTTTGGAGTTTTACCAGCTGTTAAAATAACTCAACTTTGAGAACACCCTGTATTATTATATTGTTGTTTCGTTTGTTAAATGGAAAAAATAACTGCAGTTATATTTTTGTTTCGTTTGTCCTTTAATAGTAAACACCATCCATGTCAATGAACATATTTTTATCATCAAATATAAAATCCGAGCGCTTCAAACCACTCACCTATTTACCTATTCCGAAGACAACACAATGTTTTCTTTAGTCATATACATATCTTAATCCGTTATTACTTTCTGTAAATAGCAAATTTTTTCTTGTAGTAAAAAATTGTTAATTTCTAGATATTTACTCTTAGAAAGCACAGTATGTAAAATTGCTTATATTAATAACTTTTTTCAGTTTAGTTTTAGTCTTAATTTTGCGTACGGTGTTGCCGTCCTTGACCACTATATTTTAATGTACTTATATATTTTATTTTGTAATTATTGTCCATATAAATTAATAAATAAATAAACAAATAAATACTGGAAATACCATGTTTTCTCGGGTTGTTATGAGTTCAATGTCACCCCCAGTTACATAGTTACAATCCACTTCCTTAGCTTTAACTAGGAATCTTCAACCTGTCTTCGTTATTCTCGGGCTAGGCTTTATGGTGATGGACCCATTATCAGCACCCTTAAGTCCTGATATTGATTTCGTTTTTTGTAAATTAGAAAAGGTCTTAGAACCAACAACAAGAAACGAAATCATCATTAGGGCGGGTTTCTGATAGCGGGGTTGACCCCTCTAACCCTAACCCGAGAACAACCAGGGCAGGCCAAAAATTCTTATTTAATGGTAAGGAAGTGCAATCTCTGCAGCGACATAACAACCCGGAAAACTGTGGCACTTTAAGTCACAGCACAGACCATGAAAATCTTTAAACACTATAAATAAATAAATAAAATGGATCATCCTGTAACGTAGCAACCTTTGAAAATAATATTAGACAAGTACAGGTTACACTTTTTATTAGAAAGTGATTTTCTAACGATTTTTGAAAAATACTCATGATTTTATATTCTAATTAGTAAGTAACATAATTCTAACTTGTTATTTTTTAAAACAAATAAAAACTAGTCATTTGAAATATTTATTAAAAGTTATAGAATATGGCGAATGCGCTAGTTTTAAATAAAAAAATGTTAAACGAAGTGATTATTTCGTCAAAATAAACAAACAACAAAGCAACTTTTTTCTAAAATGATTTCTAATGATTCTGATTCAAAGAAGAACACTGAAACAGTTGTCTTTTTTATAAATCTTTACAAAAAACCCTGAGAACATTACGAACATAGTTAACAGTAATATTCAGACTGGTATCTGCAACTAATTTCATACATTAAAATGACACTTATTTGTAAAAATGCATTTTGAGAAAGAAATCAAATTTTTATATTTGTGAAAATGATAGGTATCCAGATTATAACGTAAAAATGTAAATATTTTGTGTTAACATATTATTTTTTTCAAATAATTGAAAAAGGTAGTTACCTACCTACTTGTTCTATGCAAATCCCTCGAAATGTGTGGAATTACAATATATATGCTATTGATGATGAAGAGCTTATTCTTACTCTGCAAATGCATTCCCTTATATAAGCTTGAATAACTAGCATACTCTTCAATTTTTCGAAATTAAACAAGAGTACCTTTCCTTCTCTAATATTCTCAAGTCAATATTTTTCAAAAATTTAAAAATAAAGAGAAAAAAATGTTAGGTAACATGTGGGATATAACTTACAGTCCAAATACCTTAAATTTATGGTTGAATATGATAACTAGAAGGACTAATACGTCACAAAAATACATCTTCATACCCTCTAAAGAGATACATCTTCCATCTCTCCATTTTCAAAAAAGTTTATATAAAAACGTAGTATATTTAATTTTGATGAACTATCCACTTCAAAAATATTGGTTTTATTTTCCTCAAATGAAAATCATCTTAATATTTTATATTACAAATAGCAACATTTTATTTATTCTGGCAAGGGACCTTAAAAAAGGATGGTGCTAAAAAATTCATGTCTAAATATGTCGTCTGCAGACAAGATATGTCAAAACTGTTGTAGAATTTAGATATAGGTAAAGACAAAGTTGATATAGAAACCGCATTGACGTTGTATGAATTTGTAGGTTACTTCAATAAAAAAGTGGGGTGTTAGTGCTTCAATAATCTGTGGAATATTTCTAATAAGTGACAATAAAATATTGTACATAAATAAATTAATTTACTTTAAATACATAGGATTTTTAATTGAATATAAATTGTTTTCTTTTTCAAAATGACAATGGAAATCTTCGCTTATTAAGTAATATATAGAAATATGTTTTAGAAACAATAAAATGGACCGTTTTACATTAAATTTGATTACACAAGCTCTTCTCATTCGAAATTTATTTATTCTAAGGTAAATATTTGTCTCAAAATGCAACTGCTTAGATGTTAAAAAACTCACCGACTAACTGCATTTAAAGGAAACTGTCCACCTTTTTTGACATCATTGCAGACTACTTAGAAGGCCTTTTATCCCTATAGCTGACGTCAAACTTTGGTTGGTTCTTATACAATACGTGCTAAATAATAAAACGACAATTACACAGTCCTGTCCATTTGCCACGCGATGTATTTTTTAAATTGATTTCACATTAGGGCTAATACATAATTGTCATAAAAACAATTCCCGATGACCTAGATATAAATATGTGTACTGAGTCCCTTTGAAATACATAGATTTTCAATACGGAAAAGCTTGAATTTAAAAATAATCCGTTTTATCACATTAGGAAATTTAAGCACAGCTTACCTGGTTTCTCATATTAATTGGATTATCTTATGTAAACAACAACGTAGGCACTGGATAGTTAAATGCTAGAATGAAGGGGGTATGTAGTGCGTAAAAGACTGTGACATGCACTTGAAATACATTTTATACATGGCATACGTCACAGGTGTTTCATATACACTATTGCAGGTGGATTGATTCAGGAAAGCGCATTACTGACTCGTTTTCGTTGTACTAAACAAAGCGCAATGAGCTTTCTGCTGTGCTACACTGTCCAGCGCCATCTAGATGGAAATTGCCGCGGCCGATATCCGCTGTTTTGATTTTCTTCGATATTTGTGCTCTGCAGGGTACTGGCGACCGATGAAAACATTTTATAATGAAAATAATTTCAATCCCGAGCTGGTTGAAATTTTAAAGGTCGTTACTTAATTGTGTGTGGATATCTCCAGATGAATAAGACATTTATGTGCCTGTTATTCGTTTGGTAGTGAACAAAATATTTAGTTCATAGTTATTTATTTCTTTTATTATTTAAACAAAAATAAATATGGAATGGCAAGTATAAGTTAAATATAGAAAAATTACTTAAATATACTTAAATATTAGAAAAATAGTTAAATAAATAAAAAAATAGCAATAAATGTATTACTGTCCTCCCTCACCCTCCTTACTCGCCAGACCTGATTCATTGTAATTTTTTCTTATTTCCGAAATGAAAATCAGTGTTGAGAGGACGCCGTTTTCAGATTACTGATGACATCGAAGCAAATTCGTCACAGACTTTAAAGGTCATTTCAAATGAAGCTATCCAGGACAAAACTGTGTGAATAAGAGAGGGGAGTACGTTTGAAGGAAACAAGGACCAATAATGTTTAAAATTAATAATAAAGTTTAAAAAAAGTTCAGTTATTTTCTGAACAGACCTAGTATGACTAATATAAACAGGTAGGTGCCCAAACCATAGGAACATATCGAAGCTTAAATCTGACAAATTTGTAAATAATATTTTCAGGCTATCAGGATTTATATTAATAATAATAAAGCCAAGGTTTTTGAAAATACTTTTCAGTATATTTTTACTACGAGTATGTTTGGTAAAAAATTTAAGATACAAATACACCCCTAAATCTTCAAACAATCAAGTTTATAATTATATATTTGATTCAACTGTCGACTAAATGTAATAATATTAGCGACAGTTCGTGGAGTTCAAAGGTAATCTGTGAATATTTCTTTATGAGTTTATTAAATTTAAGTTTCGTTGTACGTTATGTGGATCAAATTCATTATTTATAGAACAAACTATTCTAATATCAGCATACAACAAGTAACGTACATTCAGTATCATTAGTAAAAACGGTAAATGTTGAAGGTCCAACAACAGAACCCTAAGGGACTTCTGAAGTTTGGGCAGAGTTGACTCCTGAATCTTGGACAAATTGAAATCTACCTGATAAAAATGAGGTTATCAACAGTGAAGAGCATAACCCAGCAGAATTAAATTTAAATGCTAACAAATGATGGTCAATGTGCTTACGAGAAGTTCAAATCATTGACCCTGACTTTCTTTGTCACTGATCTCATTGATGTACTGTATTATACTAGACTACATTAACCATTGATTATCACTCTACAAAATTACCTATGCTGCTACAAAATAGTATATCTAAGAAGTGATGACATTTTGTAAAGAAATCTCAAAGAATTTTGTTCAAATTACATAATATAATAGACTGAAGAAACAAAATACTGGTACCTGAACTGAAATGCTTTTTTTCGAATTAATGAAAAGTCCAACATATGTTTGGATTATATTATACTTCATTTTCTATATTAATAATACATATTCGCAAACGTTTAAAATTATTCCTACGGTGAATTCAATTGTCTTTCTTAAAGTACTGGGATGTGTGTTATTTGAAAGTACCTTTTTTAAGTGTTTCACTATAAAAACTTGTACTTTGTAAAAATTACAATCAGGATCACTGATATATGTGAATTGCTTTAGGATGGATTAATAAACTAAAGACACAAAGTAGAAAAATTGCTTTTCCGAAACTGGGATCTGAGCTAAATATTTCTCGTTATCTGTTCGCATTATTTGGAACAAAATGTTAAAAATAAAAAACATCGGGTATTTATCTACTTCTCTTATTTTTGTGGCAAATGTCCAAGAAAAGAAAACTATTTCATAAAGGCCACTGATAAAATACTCTGACAATTGGTACTTAATATTTTGACCATAGTACTCGAGATACATTATCAAAGATTAAATCTACAACAGAACTTTCATTTTCATTGCCTATTACTTACTATTTTACATTAGTATATTATCAATTTATTTTGGACTGTGCATTATAAAGTCGACATTGGTGCCTTTCTCTGTTTATTTTGCACCATAACTTATATAAACTGATTACTTTTCTGATAATCTATTCATTCCAGTATGCAAATATAGTAAATAATACAATTAACAGGAAATATGACTTAATTATTTAAAGCTTATTGCGAGAAATGCAGTTAGGTATCTTCAATAAAAAGTCTATTACCTTATGATACCAACACGAAATAAGCAATTTATTCAAACCCTAAGAATACTTTAACCTTTTAATATCTAATATATGTTTAACAAAATATCTACTGGAAATCAAATAATCGAACTACAGACACTTTTGTAAATCATTTTTTATCTGTACTAATGTTCTCGCTGATAAATCGATTCCCCAAGTTTTCGCGACATCTAGTTCGGCTCCTACAAACTAATAATTGTATATTACAAGTTACGGAAGAAAACTTTTGGTGTTTCCTAGACACAGCAGATTTCTCCTTATTATTGTTTTTTAGGAAAAATATAACTTTATAGGTGGCGATAATAGCTTTATTTTAAAATTAGAATAATTTGTGAAGAAAAAGATATGTTTATAATGAACAAAGTATTGAAAAATAATACAGAAACATTGTGAAATAAAGTTTGCCCATCTATTCTCAACAAAAATATTTATTAATAGTAGAACAGTTCATTTATGAAAGAAGGTAACACTTTCCTTTTTTTATTTGATTAATGTAACACTGATAAATAACTAAATAATTAATAATTTATGTAGATATTAATAATAATGTTTAATCCTACTATAGTACACTTTGCTGCTTTTCTGAAAAATCGCAAGGTATTTCCTTCTAACTTCTGTAATAAATAGGTACATGACATTTGAAGATAGTTCAGTCGTAAAAGCAAAAGTTATTTATTTTGTACAACTGGACAGATCAACACACTCTTCAAATACGTATTATTCGGTAGTTTCGAACACATTTTCATTTATCAAGCTTGTTGTAAAGTTTGATTTTCTGCCCTGAGACGGGAAATACGTCCCTTTGTTCTTTCTACATCCTTCAAATAAGGCACTGTTCAATAGAATCAGAGATAAGTTCCTCTTTTATCCTTCTCTATGAAAGAGACAATTATCAGTCGAGTTTGGGTCGACTCAAAAGAAAAAAATCAGTAAAGAAGCTATATTTTGTATGACATTCTGAAGGCAAATGGATTAAAATATATTTATACAACAAAAGCTTAACAAAAAAGGTATGTAACTGCAATAAAAGTAAAATTTTTCAAAATGAACAATTTGATGAATACCTACAGATGGGTGAAAGAATGAAACAGCGCATAATCTAAGGGATAGTTCTAACCGAAAAGGCAGTTCTTAAAAAAAAGGTTAGTTCTAAAAGTTAAAAAGGGCAGTTGCAAAATTTGATTACTGGAAGTACTATGAAATTGAAATTTCATGATTATTTGTTAAATGCCGGTCCTCTAAAAGGTTAATAAATAAATAAATAGGGGGTTGTATTGGGCTTTATGTTGGGAATAACAAGTTATTTGCACAAATCGAATTTTTCGGGCGCTTTCTTTGAGCTAGCATAGGGTGATTGATTTTGGGGGGTAGTTCTTAAAATTCCTTAGATTATCCCCTAGAACGAAATCGGGATTTTTGCATTCATTTTTGATCAATATAACTTCAAACAACTGCAGTAAATTAGAATAGGTACACTCTAGTTAATAATACTGAAACTATTATCCTTTCATTATTAAATACTTTTGTATCAAACATTTAGTTTAGCAGTGTCCTATTATTCTTGAACTCGGTAGACAATCAACTTTATATCATTGGTTATATGTACAGTTAAGTTTACTTTCTCTATGATTTATAGTAGACAATACAACTATTGTCTGCAACTAGTCATTTAAGCAAATTTAAAAATTCATGCTTATTTTAGAAATCTACAATATTTCTAGTCCAGACGGTATCTGTTGAAAAAAGTCCATATTTGGGTGAATCGTATATCCACAGAGATTTTTGGCTTTTTGGATTTCAAATATTATTATGAAAATTTTTCGCGCATAAAAAAACGTGGGCTTAACATTTGGCGGCAATATGTTCAAAAAATTCGAAAAATGTCATATTTTTCTTCCTATTTAATTATGTATCTTTTCAAGAGTTGATTTTAGGAGAAAATGAAAAAGGAAAAAACTGTTTGTAATTAAATTTTTTACAAAATATGACTAGTTACAAATCGAAGGAATCATGATTAATAATAATCATGATTCGCCAAAAATGGGGTTAAAAAACATTACTTTTCAGGGAATTTTTTTGGGGTTTTAAATTGGGTACAGGACCTTCATACTTGGCTCAAGAAAATTTCATGTTATGTAGAATCATCACACCAAATTTCATCAAAATCGGTTCGATAGATTTTGCATAATAATTTTGCAATCCAGATTTTGAAAAAAATTAGCAAATTTTCAAAATTTTACACAACAAAAACCAAGGCCCTTAGATACTTGAAAATTTAATCAGAAAGAAAATAGAAAGGCTCTCACGCTTTCAAACGCTTTTTGAAAAATTCGAATCCGTCAATTAGGAGAGCTCTGGCGCTTGTTTAAACATTAGTCGAATTTTTGTATTTATAAACAATTAGAAGAACTTTATGAATATTCAACCAAATCAAATTTTTTAAAATAGGTTTTAAAAGTTCTTGGAAAGACGCTTCTTTAATAAAAAACAGATCGATTGGTCAATTAATTACGTAGTTATAGCCGATCAAAGTTA